ATATATACATATATATATATATATACAGCCGATCATAGAAAGGTTGCAATACTTTTTTTCGATGGTTTTCGGAATGCAGCCTAATCACTGAGCTATTGATTCTTATTTGTGGATCCATGAATAAGAATTAATCGCTCGATGAGCAAGCTGCATTCCGAAATTCATCGAACAAAAGATGTTACAACTTTTTTGTGACCGGTTGTACATATTAGCAAATCGATGTTGATTCGACGTCAAAATTATCTAATGCCTAATTCAGATTAGACGCAGCAATTAAGCAGCAGAGCAGCAACCAATCAGCGATATTTACAATGGCGTAAAAAATATCGCTTTGATGATTGCTGCTCTGTTGTTTGTGCTTGCATCCAGTTTGAATTAAGCAATTCGACATCGAATCGATTCTATTGTTATTTCTCACTGTAATACCTAAACGAGAATGGATTGAATGAATTCATATTTTCAGAAATATTGATTCACGAATGTTAAATTGAATGCTTTTCAATCCTGAATGCATTATTCATTTATAGAAATTGCATAGAGCATATCTCTATGTCTTTCAATCTAAAAATAATATTAGCTTTTTCTATACAAAAACATACAATTGTGAATACTGTTCAATTCAAAATTTTGAATAGGAAATGCAGTTTTTCAATCCAATTGAATCTAACTAAATCCAACAAAAAGTATTTGCTATATTTAAAATACGCATTCGGATAGAAAAAAATTTCAATCTATTTTAATCCATTTTCGTTTGCTGGATAATATTTTTCGCAGTAATCGGTAATCGGTATATGTATGAAAACAACATCTTTTTCAGGTGAAGTAATATAAATATAATAAGATTATTTTTCGAGCTACGTTCCTCTTAACGCTCACAACGTTCGTAGAATCATTTTATCGTTTATCGTTTATCAATTAAGAACAAACGATGCTTGCGAGCGTAAATAAAATGCAGCTTCGGTATCAAAACGCTTCAATGTCAGAAATTTAAAATTCGCGTTGTATTTGGGTTGTGATCAAAGTCTCGCTACAAATGCTTTGAAGTATTTGATGGATCAATTAGAAGAAAGAATTTTACAAACTGACCAATTAAAAAACGCTTTATAACATGCTTTGCAACATCGTGTTGACTGTACCATTGATATTCGCTCCAATAAGAAGCACTGTTTTTTAGGGATATTTTTATCTCTAGTGATCTCTAGTCGAGATTCCCAGAAAGTGTGCTCTCCTATTGGACGTCGTTAACCGCCGTGACGCGGCCACTGTGTGTAACGTATTAGGCGCAACATGGCGGCATGTCGCTCAGTCAGTGCTGTTTGCAATATCGCTCGTCGTATTCACGCCTGTAGAAGATTGTGAACCACGTTCTCGGTTGTTTACTTTCGTACACGGCGGCTCGCATCGCTCGTGAAACGACGCGACGTCGACGAGACGAGGGGACGTCTCGAAACGCGTCGCGTCGCGTCGCATCGTCTCATCGCCCCCCTCATTGCGAGTACTGATCATCATAGTCGGTTACATTTCAGTTACTTCGTTGCTCGTTTTGTGGCTCGTTATGCCTAGGACGACTCGCGCATTGTCCCACCGCGTGGGAAATCGTGTCGTCGACACTGTGAAAGGTAAGGACACTTTATCCGACGATCCTCTCACTCAAGCATTCTGCACCGGCCGCGCGGTAGGGGTTATGTTTTCCGTGGGTCTCTCTTCCTCCCTTGCTCCATCTTGAACGCTGTCGCAGAGACGCGTTCCAGCTACCCTTTCTCCTCCACCGCTTGGCCGCTCTCTCGTGACCCTCCCGTCCGCCCGCGACCGTCCCGCTCTCGTCTCGGCGCGCGACGTTTATCGTCGATTTTGATGCGTTGAATCCTGCAATTTGTTAATATCGTGATACGATGATCGAAATTCTCTCGCGATGCTGACGTACAAACGATAACGACTCTCCTCGTCATTCTCGCGACACGCGGAACTCCGCTTACTGGGCTAGAGCATTGGGTTTAGAAACTATAAACTAACATGGAGTACGATAATTAGGATGTCAGTCTCTGTACGACGATTCCGCGTGGAGCAGTGAGATTCAACCGTGATTTTCTTACAGATTCTTCTACATTTTTCGTTTTCTTGATGTCTCGCGAATTTTGAATTGTAGCTTTATAGCCACTCTATAAGTTTCAGATCGATTTCACTCGTTGAATCGTTCTTTCTTTTTTTTTTCTTTTTCATCTTCTAATGTTCCAAACAACCTTAAACAATAATTTCTTTAAAATTGTAAATTTTATTTAAAATTTTGTCAATATTATTATTTATGTTAACACAATAAGTAAAATTTATTTCTTATAATTTTTGTTCAATATTTTTTATGTGTACATATAATTGATTATAAAATATTTAATATTATATTTTATCAAACTCAGAAATTTAAATGTTATTAATTAACACAGGAAAACGGAAAAATGGCACAGAAAAAAATACAAAGATTTTAACAAGTAATGATACAAGTTTATTAGTGAAAAATGAAAATAAGCTGAATACTACCAAACAAATAACAAATAAATTTGATACAGTCAAGAAACAATCCATATTAGAAACATGCAAATCTTCTAAACATAAAACTCATAATCAAGTAAGTATATTGGATTAAAATTTATAATATGTTATAAACATATTTGTTTTTTTTATTAATTTCTGTGAATAAATAAATAAATTTCAAAATATATTTCTAATCATATGTATTACAATGTTTTTCATATTATTTCATTTACAGGATTCTAATAATGAAGTTATAACAGGCAAAAATCTGCTTACCCATTATCTTTTTGATAATGCAAAAACTGTTTCACCTTGTATTCAAGTGAAGGAAGAGATTACTTATGTAGAACAATTCAAAACTGATGGTATATAATCGCAATTTTATTTATATTAATTTTTTCTTTTTAATTTAATTTATGATATATAAAAATATTGATTTTTTAGAGACACCAGTGGCTGTTCCAGTTCGTACGCCTTCTACGCCACATAGAATAAAAATGCCAACAGAGGATTTAGATGAAGGAGCTACAATTACTACCAATATAAAACCTGTGATTACATTACTTAGTCCACTACAAGTTATGAAAAAACCAGTTCAACGTGGACGTAAAAAAGGAACCTGCTGTCAGTCCGTCAATCATCGTTTGTCAAAGCCAGTGAATGGTGAAACAAATCATTCGATTACCGACTACTTTCCAGTACGTCGTAGTGTAAGAAAGAGCAAGAAGATTGTATTAGAAGAGAAACAACGTGATTTAGAAAATAAGGTTCTTTGTCAAGTGGAAAATGGTTTAGAAGTAAATATAACCTGATAGGAACATTGGTACTTTTCAAATAATATACTGAAACAAATTATGACAATCTATTTCTTATTACAGATAAAAAACTTTCCGGGTAAAGGTCGCGGTGTCGTAACGACACGAGAATTTGCCAAAGGCGAATTTGTAGTGGAATATATCGGCGAGCTGATCAATCAGGGGGAAGCAAAGGAGCGTGAGGAATTGTACGCACAAGATCAAAATACCGGATGCTATATGTATTATTTTCAACATCGTAATCAACAGTATTGGTAAAATAAATCTTGATCTTGATAGAATAATCATTCTCATCGTGGAATCCTATAATAATCTTGAGCGAGATAAAAAAAAAAAGAGTATAATATACATGTTGATTCATATCGATTTTTTAGTGTTGATGCAACGGCGGAGACTGATAAACTTGGCAGGTTGGTGAACCATTCGAGAACCGGTAATTTAATTGCGCGAATCGTCGAGGTCAATTCAATACCGCATCTGGTACTTACGGCGAAAGAGGATATACCGATCGGTGTAGAGGTCTCATATGATTACGGAGATCGAAGTCGCGAATCGATTCGTCATCATCCATGGCTGGCGTTATAGCACTTCCAATTCATTATTTATATAATATCGTGTTACATTGTACAAAAATTCATTTCATTTGTGTTCCTCCTATGAAGGAACTATATAGCATATATGTTGAATTTTCTATGTGGTACAAATTTTTTTCATAGCGATCCGCGGTGTATTCAATAGACAAATTCAATTAGACGAATTTGCGAGTTTCTACTAGTATATTTGTAAATTCCAAATTCTTTTCAATTACTAAAAGAGAATTGTATATTAAATTGTTAATCATGACAATTGTTTGTTTGTATTGGAAGAATGAAATATGATTTTTATATTATAACAATTAGCTTTCTTAATGATAAGAAGGTTAAATTTAACTTATTTAAAAAAATGATTTCTAAAAGAAAAGAAGTACATTTGATGTTAAATGTTTAACATATGCAGTATTACCAATCAAATAAGAACTTTGGCATTCGGTATTGAATTGTAATAATCATGACAAATCGTAATACATGCTTCATCTAGTCTCGCTTTCATCTGGTATTTATTAAGCGATTTAGCTTGGATTTTCTGTACTAGCCCTTTCGCGATGGTAACATTAAATTGAAAACTGCTGTATAAGATTGCGAATCTGCGCAGTGTATGATTGACACTTTGGTCTAGTACCTCGTCATAGTCACTGTAATGCGTCGTCTACAATAGTAACATTAAAGGCTGTAGACACATAAGTTTTCTGGTCAGAAATGATTGATCAATCAATGTCAAATCGATGCTGATTCAATCTCGCTCAATGTTAAATCGATGTTAATTCAACGTTGATCGACGTTAATTTCATATTGATCGCTCAATCATTTGTAAATGGGGATGCAATAGGGCATAGAGTAATTTTTGCAAACGAAATAGATTTCAATTGCATTTCTACTGCTACTGTTTATGGTAGATGACGTTTAATATTTCACATAAAATTCGGAAAGAAGAATTTAGTACATCCAAGTACGATGCAGATGCAACGCAGAGCAATGAAAATGTATTGAATTCTAGTTTATACAATATTCTTAAACTTATTTTTTAATACTCAGATGACAAGGGCCTCGCGGTGATTTGCAGGTACATATCGATGATTTATTAATGATCATGATCCGATTCACATATTTAACAGCACAAAGGACAGTTTTGCAAAGTTATAGTGACCATTCATTGCAAAAGATTAGAAAGGATAAAATATCTTAAATAATATTATTAAATTAAATTAATTTTATTGATATATAATATCAATTTTATTGATATATTAATAAAAAATGTATTTGTTCATGCTTTGATAGAATATATATCAAAATATGAACAAATACATATTTTTAAAAATTTTAAATTGTTTAATAATAAAGTTTAGTACTAGCTAAATATAACTTATATAATATTTATGTAAAATTTACATTGAAAAACTGAGATATAGGCATAGATCATATTGCAAAACTGGATATCTTTACAAAAAGTGTCCTACAAAAATTTTGATAGGTGGCTGTAGTTATCCTTAATATGTAGCGAGTATTCTCAGCATTGGGCGACTATAGAAAGGCATCTTTAGAAAGGGCTAGATCAAGAGTTCTTAGTTGAAGCAATTGTGATACGTAGCTACAAAAATGTTATGATCCTCTCCCACTTTTCCAAAAAACTATATGTATGTAATCGCATAAAAGTATATATATATATCGATGAAAGAGATTCTTTTGTTGAAGTATTTTATGCAACACGCGATAGCTTTGAGTACTTCACTGCCACATACTTAGATGTGAGAACTTGGTTTCTCGAAAAATAATTGTACATATTCTGCCTATATGACATTGTGCAAATGACATTGTGCGAACATATTCCTCGATTGCTTATATATCTTCCTTAAAATAACCGCACTTAAGAAAGAAAAAAGAAAAGTAGAGATAATGTTTACGTTTTCACTCAAATTTGTTTTTGTCAACTATTTATAGCACATACACACACGCGCGCGCGCGCGCGCGCGCACACACACATACACACACACATGAATACGCATTATTATATATTATACTGCTCACGTACTTTTACATTACTGCTCGTCTCTTTTTATTAAGCTGCTCTATACTTTTGTCATTTATAAAATAATGTTCAATCTTTGTTAATAATTAAGTATAATTTGCCGATCTTCCCCATTCCTTTTCTTCGAGAGTCTTCGAGAGAGAGAGAGAGAGAGAGAGAGAGAGAGAGAGAGAGAGAGAGAGAGAAGTTTAAAGAATTATTCTAAAATGAACACATATATAATATATACAGAGAAGAAACAATTTTTACTAAACATTTTTTATGCTATAAATTTTACATTTGTTGATCATGTTTATTGTACATCTTTTATCGCACGCAAGAATTCTTGTAGTTGCGCACATTGTATACGAAAATATATTCATGATTTATTCAAAGTTACAAAATTTGTAATATCTTACATCTGTTTTCTCTCTAAGTCTTCTTTCATTATTTAGATATGGTAAGCAATTTGTGTTATGATTTTTATAAAATATTTATCTAAAATTATTATATCTTGATCAAAATATTTATATCTTGTTCCAGTCTGATATCTTTGTTCTATAAAATAATTATTAATAATTTGTTCTATAAAATTCTGTAAGCAAAAGAATTTCGAACTACTTTGTTGTCAAGAAAGAATTAAAAATAATTGTCAGAAAAGAAATCTAATCGTTTACTTTTTTTACTATTACACAGCATCTGCAAATAATTATCTGCTTATAATTATTTGTATATTATACACACATTCCCTCTCGTGAAAAAATCAAAAAGATTCTGAAAGTAGATGTAAAAAAAAATATCCGTGTCTCGGCGTTTTACTAGCTTAAATCGTTAATGTTTTTTATGCAGCTATTTATCATATTTGCTTCATATTGATTTTTTACAATTGTTTTAATTATATAATTTTTTAAAATAAATAATTGACACTTTTGCATGTGAAATTATGCAATGAGTCCGAATACAAAAAAACTGAGAATATTTTTTTATATATTTTCAAATTTTTGTATAATAATATTTTGTATAATAATATTATATTAATTTTGTATAATAATTATAATTATAATTATAGAATTTGATTGATTGCTATTTGTATAATTCCGGTTTTGTATCACAAACAACAGTGCAAGCATGTGATTTCCTTCTCAATCGGCGAATTCTACATTGGCGTAATCAATTTTTTCACGAAACTGTATCGGAAATCAGAAGTTTTTAATTTTGTTGCGCAAAAATAGTATAATTCAGGTGCGTGTTCGGTACGTTGTAGCCAAATTGTTGGTGCAATGAATTTAATTTTATGAGATTTATTTTTCCATCTGAGCAAACATCGACAATAATAATCGCACATAACTTCTGGTACGTACCACAAATTCGGTTTATACGTCACATGAAAATAAGCTTTAAATTCTGCTACAAATTTTTTATATTTCGCATATAGCTTGGAGGTGCAAATAAACCGCACACCTAGCAATAATTATTTTGATTTGAATATTTATTATTGTTTATTTTAATATTTCCTTCATTTTCAATTTTGTTTTAAATGTACAGTTTGAAATTTCATTAATTAAATCCGCGACGTTCGAACTGAACAAGAACATGAAATAAGCTGGATTGTGATTGCTACTTGTTTATGTCACTTTATTGTTTAGATCGCGAAGACAATGTCGAAGTAAATTAATATTGAAACGGTATGCTTTCCTAACATCTACTTTCAGAATCTCTTTGAATTCATGGGGGGAAATCTGTGCAGTATTATAAAAAGATATTTGATGATACTTAAAAAAAAGACATTTGATTACTTAAAAAACGTTAACGACTTGATCTGGTAAAATGCTGAGACACGGGTATTTTTACATCTCCTTTCAAAATCTCTTTGATTTTTTCATGGGAGAAAAAAAATCGATTTTTGTCATATTGTGTAATTAAAGAGATATATTATAATTGCAATTTATAAAATTCGAAGTAGAATGATGTTATAAAATACTTGTCAGTTATCAACTTTATTTACAATTCTTTTTTGTAGAGAGAAAAATCCAAGATTTCGCGTGCCCGATCTCTGAATGATCTCTCGTAGCTATAATATACATGCAATTCATGTAGCTATATGCAAATTTTCATTGATGCCGACGTGCGCGCTGGCGAGCTTAGCGCATGCGGCAGGGGGGAGGGGGATATTTTTACGTCACGGTGCGCGGTGACGAAAGTGTCGTGGGAAGGAAAGGGACAAACTGATAGAATGACAGAGAAGGACGTCGGTTATTGATTCTGTCGATCTATGCATACACGGCCGACACAGCGGCATACATATTTTTGACATTGTGTGCCGGAAGCGATTTTGCGCATCAAGTTCTGTGCGATGGCTTAAGACCGGACGGCGTTCACCGTCTCTTTCGGTGCGCGTCAAGTAGCATCAAATCGTCGAGCATTCGCAAACGAAGCAGCTCTTCTTGCGCGTTCTTTTCGCGCAAGGGTTAATACTCCAACGCGAAGGAGTATCATAGGTTAAGGTCCGTTTCTTCCGCTGTTGAATGAGAAATCGCGTCCACGATCGTGCGAAAATGGACAACGTGATGACAACGCCGATAACCGCTGAGTGCGCGGATGCAATGACCCTGAATTTCGGCCCATTCGAGACGGTGCATCGGTGGCAACGCATGCCGGAGTGCGCCGAGTTCGTCGGTGCCAGGTAGGCAGTCGGCCAGGATGCACTTGTTGTTCGAATGAGTCTCTTCGTTTACTGCTTCCTGCAGACTCCTGGATGCTTTTCAGCAAGAGATATAGATGCAGTGTAACACAGTGAATCTTCTTCTTCTTCACATGCCTTCTTCATATGCCTTATTCACATACCATTCCTGTTGGCTATCATCATAGCTATTCTATCTACAGCTAATCTTATCCACTGCCATCCTGAAGAGTTCTGTTGAGCTCAGTCCACTTCCTCAGATTGGCTAATCAGGATACATCTTCTACCAGGAGCTCTCTTCTCTTTTACCTTTGATGTTTTGTAGCATTTGATATTTGTTGTTCCTCATGATGGCCAAGATTTTAGTTTTCTCTCTGTTAATAACACCTTTGGTCTTGTCCTCTCTATTTCCTACAGATTTCTTAATTGGTTATCTGGCGAATCCAAGGAATCTTTAAAATACGTCTGTATATCCACATTTCAAATGTAGTGAGAGTTTTTTCTTGCTAGCTTCGGTGATCTATGCTTCAACTCCATATAGGAGTGTGGAGAAAATGTAACACTATATTACACACAATCTTCTTTTCGAGCTGTAAACTAAGATTCCTTGGAACACAATAACGGCTTCATCTTAATTGTGATGAAGATTGTTTTGACTTTTTGATACAGCACTTTATGCATTTCAATCTCGATCGAGATAACATTTTTCATTTATGCAAATTGCAGCCCAGATACATATATTTACTTATTCTCTCTATGATCTGATCATTTGCCAAGAGAACTCCCTGATGGTGTTAATATCTTGTTCAACCATTCTTGTTGCGTTTGAAATCACCTATAATAAGAGTGATTTCATGTCTGTTGTAGGATCTCTTTAATTTGCTCGTAAAATTATTCGATTTTTTCCTCTTCTTTGTCACTGATTTGAGCATAGACTTGTATTATATTAATGTTAAAAAAGTGTCCTTTCATTTTAATTTTAATTATTATTTTATCTGAACAAGCAATATAAGTAATAACTGCTAGTTTCATGCTTTTGTTTATTATTATACCAACTTCTTGTCAATGTTGTCATTTCTCATTTCTCGTGTAGAAGATGGTTTGTTCCTCCATTTGACACTCCCCTAGCCATCTAATCTCATTAATATTACCCATTATATCTACCCATTATATCATTCTTTTCATTTCCTTGATAATATTGTGTACCTTTTTCGCCTCATACATACTCCTAATATTCCACGTGCCAATCTTCACGTCTGAATCATTACATCTTTATTGTTTGCCAATGTTAAACAAAAATGAAATGGTTACAGTGTTACACTGTGTAATGTATGATCATTTTATTTTTGTTTGTATTTAATATTGGCAAACAACAAAGATATAATAAGTCTATTTTTTACTCCTGCACTAAACTACATTAGAATATTTTTTTTTTGCCAAATATTAAACATATGTCTATTTACTTTAAATTTCAAACATATATTAGTTAAGTTGTAGAAAATAGACCTATAGATTTATTGTGTTACACTGTTATCTCGATCTTGCTGGAAAGTATCTTCTAAGTACTGTTAATTCAGTTTGATAGAATATCATGATAAAGAGAGAAAGAGAAAGGATTTATATCTATATATATTATATTCAAATAAATTTTATTCAGCATTCTAGAGATAGATTTGACAAAATAATCTAGTATCTATCAACAGTAGTATCTATCAACAGTACAACTTGATTGATTGTCTTTGTTCTGTCTTGATGCTTTGTTCTGTCTTGCAGACGCAGTAAGCATACTATGGTAGCGTACAACGATGATATTTACGTTTTTGGTGGCGACAATGGTAAGAGGATGCTGAATGATGTATTGCGCTTTGATGTGAAAGAGAAATCTTGGGGCAGAGCGTTAGCTACTGGCATACTACCTGCACCACGCTACCACCACTCTGCAGTCATCCATGGGTCATCAATGTTTGTATTCGGTGGTTATACTGGAGATATACACTCCAATTCCAATCTTAGTAATAAGAATGATTTGTTCGAGTATTGCTTTCTGACTGGTCATTGGACACCATGGAGATTTGATGGAAAGTAAGCATTATTTGTATTGCAAGAATTTTCTCATATGATATCTAATATTTTAGCATTTCTGATATTTTTATTAGACCTATCAAATTATAATGTATTTATAGGGCCCCAGTACCTAGGTCTGCTCATGGTGCCGCTGTATATGATAACAAATTATGGATATTTGCGGGCTATGATGGCAATGCTAGGTTGAATGATATGTGGACAATATCATTGTTGGTAGGAGATGTGTTTTATAAATATTTCCAAAATATATATGTATAATAAATGCATGATATTAATATAGACAATATAGACCTATTTAATCAATGTAGACAATGTAGAATTTTGATTTTAATTCAACTTAATCTTTATTTTTTCTAATTCTAAAAATTAGAAAAAGATAAAAAATAAATTGAATTTAAATTAAAGTTAATATACTGGTGGAAACAGATATTAATTTATATGTATAAGTCTTGTAACGCAGTTTTAATTTCACTCTTCGATATTTGTCCCAGCCTGGCGAAATTAAAACGTGGGAGGAGGTCGTTCAAGTCGGTGAACGTCCACCGACATGTTGCAATTTCCCCGTCACAGTAGCTCGAGAATCAATGTTCGTTTTCAGCGGACAGAGTGGAGCTAGGACAACTAATAGTCTCTTCCAGTTTCATTTTAAGGAAAAGCGGTAAATTTTATAGTCTGCGATGTAATACATCATAATTCATAGAGTCATTGAGTCATGTTCCATCTATTATAAATTTATCTTCTCTAGGTGGACGCGCATATCGACGGAGCACATATTGCGTGGCGCACCACCACCACCCGCAAGACGATACGGTCACACGATGGTCAGTTTTGATCGTCATCTTTATGTTTTTGGTGGTACGGCTGACTCGGCTTTGTCCAACGATCTTCATTGTTACGATCTCGATACGCAAACGTGGAATGTTATTTTACCGTCCATAGACAGTCAGGTAAGATGACTTACAAAGACGAATTCAAGCCAAAGTAAAGACGAATAATAACCGGAATGAGTATAACAAGCTTTTCTGTTTATAAATTGCTAATAGATAGAACATATTTGTTAATGCAAATTTGCACATATTTGTACTTGCAGTGCTATTCACATTCGTTAAAATAAATTGCTGATTTGTTAGCGTTTTCTGTTTAATCTGGATCCTTAGTATATTTGCTAATGTTTTTTTCCACAATGACATGTTACAAGAGATTATAAGTAATTTTTATTTTTATAATAATACATGCACACAGGTACCATCCGGTCGACTTTTCCACGCCGCTGCCGTGATCGGAGATGCAATGTTTATTTTTGGGGGAACCGTGGACAATAACATACGCTCTGCAGAGATGTACCGCTTCCAGTTCTCATCTTATCCCAAATGTACGTTACACGATGATTTCGGCAGGCTGCTGAACTTGAGCCTCTTCTGCGATGTGGAATTCATAGTGGGCGAGCTGGAGACTAAGATACCGGCGCATATAGCCATGGTGGCGGCGCGTTCGCAATTTCTTCGGACGCTCATTCGACAAGCGCTCAAAAAACGAGATAAACAAAAACTTATTGATGTGCCCACTAACGAATCCTCGCTACTGGAGGTAAACAATTTAGCAAGAACATAAAAATAAAAAGTTATATAGAATTCTATTTTACTTAAGTTGATGAGAGATAAAAAAAATATAATTGAAAAAATATAGGTCTGTTTTTTCAGTTAAACTTTTTACGTTTATCTTTGCTTTTTTTTCTGTAAAACTGAGAGAAAAAGAGGAAAGATGAATAATGCAAGAAGTTCAGCTGAAAAGAATAGATTATATTTACTATAAACATCTATTTGTATATATTCTTTCTTCCTTGGTTTTATAAATTTGGCTATTATGTTGCAGGTGAAATTAAAAGACGCTGTACCGGAAGCTTTTAAAATGGTGCTGAACTATATTTATACAGATCGTATCGATCCTACTAAAAGACTAGATGACAAGATTGAGGACCCACAGAGTAATCGCATCGTACTTCTTATGATAGATGTCTATCGCCTCGCCGAGCAGTTCCATATGAAACGCTTAGAACAGTTGTGTGTTAATTATCTCGAAGCAACTATAAGCCACACGAATGTCTTGGAGGCATTATGCAACGCCGTACACTTGAAATTATACTTCATAAAGGATTTTTGTCTCAGTTTCGTCGTGAAAGAAAATAATTACAATCTAATCGTGATGAGTCGGGAGTTCGAGACTTTAGATCAGCCGCTGATGGTGGAGATTATCAGGCGACGGCTAATGCCGCAAACTAAAACTATTACGAAGTACGAATCTGTCACTGGTAGGTATCATGCGCGACACACGTTTATCAGAGTAGTCTCTTATGAAATTTACTTGTTAGGAACTAACCTGGAGCAAGACATGGAAGCATTTTTAAAGAGCTTCGGTCAGGAATTTTGTGATATCACATTGGAGTTAAACGGTAGATCGATACCGGCGCATAAGGCCATCCTCGCGGCACGATGTGGTTACTTTGAAGGACTGTTTCGATCCACGCCAGGAAATAATACGGCAAACGTAAGTCATTTATAAAAAAAAGCACATTACTAATGAATCTCTCGCTAAACAAGAGAAGGCGTCCATTTTAATACAATATTTCACATATACAATTATAAAATAGCAAACTTTTATATAGGTACAAATTGGCGAGACGATACCGTCATACGATTCATTCTACTCTTTACTGAAATATATTTATTATGCGAATGTCTCGATGCCTCCAGAGGATTCTCTATATCTGTTTGCTGCATCGGAATATTATAGTTTCACGAATAATCGACTCAAAGTGTTTTGCAAACAAAATCTCGAAATGAACGTCACTTTCGAGAATGTTATACCGGTTTTAGAGGCAGCTGAGAGGACGCAAAATATCGATATGAAAAAGTATGCCCTCAATCTGATAGTTCATCACTTTAGCGAGGTAAAGAAATGATCCTGGACACACATGTTCGATATTAACATCCATAATATGTATAGAATCCGTAACATGTATACGAAGTATCGCTTTTATTTAGGTTGCCAGGCTGCCAAAATTGAGAGAATTAAGTCGCGAGCTCTTATTGGATATTCTTGATGCTTTAGCTGATGATCGCAGCGATGCTAGAACGTGTCAAGATATGACTACTGATTGCTGACTACGGATTTCTATTTCAGATCGTCGTCCATGTAATTGGGATTTACCATCGCCGTGCAGTTTCCAAGTAAGTATGATTATTTAAAAAAAATATTCTCAATATTGTTATATTTTTATTTTCAATAAACTAAAGTTATAGATTATTAATAATATTATTAATGCTGAGCAAGAAAAATGCTAAAAATATTTGTGATGATATTCCGGAGTTTTCTCGTTTTAGGAATTATGCCGGGTGAATTTCATCCTCATAGGACGAACGGTTCTGTTTGTTGGTAACTGTTATCTCGATCACACGGCTAAATCTTGCCTGACATCAGACATACAGACTTTGCTACCATTGTCGATTCAGGATGAGTCATCCTCATCGTCATCATCCTCATCATCCTCATCATCGTCATCGTCATCATCCTCATCATCATCATCCTCATCATCATCATCATCATCATCATCATCATCATCATCATCATCATCATCATCATCATCGCCGTCATCATCATCGTCTCGTTATGGTGACAACAGGAAGCATCAATGGTCTACTATTACCCGTCGTTGTTCCGTCAGTTGCAATATGTTGAGACGCACCGTTGTCGCCCTTTCGGACCTTGGACTTAGAAAGTTATTCCCGTAAATCGGAATTGTGTTAATATTAAATGAAATGACGATGATTTTCGTCAAGCTGTGTCATAGAAGTGTTTATTGCATGATGCAAAACTGCTCGAAAGCCGATGTATAATATTAGTGTAGAGATTGTGTCTGTTCGTATAACAACATTAGACATGATATTATACACAGGATGCGCATCAAGGTATCATTTTCCAATATTTTACATAAATACCCTGATGAAAAAATTCTGACAGCTCATATTTTTAAGAATTTTTCATATTTCAAATTTATGAAAACATATTTTAAACTTTTTCAGATTTTATAAGTTTTCTTAGGAAATTAGAATGCAAAATTTAAAAATTCTTAAAATATTTCCTCAAATTCATACATAAAGAATTCTAGAAAATATGTAGGACTGTTTCAGTACTTCTGAAAAGTATTCATATAAAAAATTCGAGAATTTTAAAAAGTTATAAAATTATACATAGAAATTCTGAAAATTATATAGAAATACTGAAAAATGATATAAAGAATTCTAAGAAAAATTTCACCAGGGTAGATACAGTAATGTCACTTCCAGTTATGATTACGTTATTACGTATATCTTAATTAGCAATTGTTATTGATTGTATTATTTATTTATGCAGAGTTAGAATTTGGGTATAATGACAAAAGTACGCAGAAAACTAAGCAACGAGAATGCGATTTTTTATTTTGAGTTATTTTTAAGTGTAAGGTCCTAAAGTTTGGCTATTCATGTGATTGCAGACTCTTTAATTTTTGTGCTTTTTGTTGCTTCTGCTTTATACCCGAATTTTGTGATATATTATAGCATTTGGCTATAATAACTAATGAGATATAACCATTGAGAGCTCTACTAAGTTGTTATTAAGAATTCTATTGAATTTTCAAGGGCTATTAATCAATTTAATCGGCCTGTCTCCAGTTCAAAGGAAATTGGAAATTGTTGATATTATTAACTGCTTAATTGTTCGATATAAACATCTATATGCTCAATCCACAAGGCACTAATATTTTAGTTATTTCGATATTTTATGATGCACAGCAATTTTTTTTAAATGACATAAACTTTGTAATAAATCAGTTTTTAATGGTATCTCATTGTAGCGGTCATGATAAGCCTATATGTTTCCATGTTTTTATTATACATGTTGAAGTATAGTCTGTAAAATATACATGAAATGTCTATTTGTGCTAAAGAAAGCGTTGTTATAACATATTTACATATATTCACGATCATATTGTTCCGTCGTATCCCCGTTGATCTTTTTGTAATTATACATGAGACAGGAATATTTTTATGGGCTTAAGTAATATATATAGTAATATATAAATAATTTCATTTTATGCAGATGGAAGAGAAATGATAAAAATGAATATTATGTATATGTGTTGAAAGTGAATATATTTTCAAGACGTTTCAGAAAATTGTTGATATAAGAAATATCTATAACTAATATGAGAGGATATAGGAAATTAAATGTAGACTATATATCAGCATGAGTCATTAAATTGCAAAGGGCGCCTATATTTTCATCGAATATAATATAATAAATTAAATTATACTTGCAAAAAAAAGAGATTTGTTTTTTATTTAATTTATTACTACTATTTGTTAGTCTTGTCGAACGATAATTATAGTTTAAAATTTACAAAACTGAAGAAACTACAGAAGACAATAGTATTAGTAGAACACGATAAAATATAAATATTGCTTAAAACAAAACCTTCGCGAATTGTAAAATGGATGGTAACATTAATAATCGCACTTGATTAATAAATTATGTATTATATATTTTAATCTCGAATAATTGTACATACATATGATTCATATTCTCGTGGAAGATAATTAATGCTTCAAGTTTACAAGAGCAAACAATACGAATTGAGGGAACGAGAGGAACCGAACAGCAGGTGCTCATATATAAAATCACATTGCTCTGTCTCTTCCTGTATCTCTTCCTTTCTCTCTATCATCCTTTTCTACATAATATTATCTCTAGAGAGAGACAGGCGTTTTTATTGTATCTAATGTTATCTCTAGGCAGGTGGTACTTATTTACTCTGAATACACATCCGATTTATAGCGATATTCATTCCAAGAAACTGAATAAAAAAATCAATCTCGCGATTGTTGAGGCTTGTTTTCTTTATCTTGAAGTGAGATGCCATCGAATCAGATTTGTGCTTGAAAGTAAACATCCTTCTTTTACATTTTTCTCTTTTTATCTTTTGTTCTTTTATTCACCAAAGCGTATTTCGCTAGAAAATAGCGCACCATCTATGGCCCATTTCTTTTAATAATCAACCAGACATACGTTGACACAACACTTCGAATCTTTTCTCATGGAAGTAACAAGATAACTGAATGAAAAGTAAAATAATTTTAGGCAAAGAGGATATTAAAAGTGGAAGAACAAAGCAAATGCTATCTCCATTTCGATGTTTGAGACGCAATTAATTTCTGTACATACATTACTATTGTTCTTGATTGTGATGCATATCTATTGACATATATTTCTTCGAGAAACTCTTAATATAACTATTTAATATAACGTATTTTGGCTTCCCATTTACTTTTATTTTACACCTTGTACGAATAATTTCCGTTCAGTCATCTGTTACGTCCATGATCTTTGTTTTTGTAAGATTTCTTAGAGAGATTTATTACTTCCCACTTATTAAATCTATTAAGTGACCACCAAAATCGTTGCACAAGTACATCAATTGCGCACTGTACAAGGATATGCCACATAAATGAGAAAAATAAGAGACATTAGAGAAGAAAAAGTTTGAAAATATGTAAATAAAAAAGAATTAAACATGTTTAAAGTTATATTTTATTTCTCGATTAAATGATTGATCCGCTATAATTAAAGCTTCTATGATGCTTTGTATAAATGAATTTATGTTATTATTTTAGTATTCAATAATAATTTTAAAGAGTGATGTGCCAGGAAAACAATTCATTTTGCAACACATTCTTCACGATCGTTAACTACATATTGACAACAGTTATTGAATCGTTTCTCGTTAAAAACTAAAACGGTTAAAGTACTGAAATAATAATGAATAAAGAATAAAATAAATTTTTAGATAATATTGATTAGCTAAATAAAACAGAAGTAACTGTCATTCCCATTTCGATGTCTGAATTGCGATGTCGATTACATATCACACCGTAAAATTGAGACTTTTCTTTAGAATGAACGCAGCGATTTAAAATCTACAAATTTTTAAAGGTTTCGATGTCTTTATACGCTCTTATTTCTCATTAATGCGTTAAGTCTGAACAAGGCAATTGTTCTCAAAACCTTCTTTTTCTTTTTTTGGTCGTTGGGTAGGCATTGTGCCTCTACAATGGGAAAAAGGAAAGAAAGACGCCAACTTGTACTCTTGCACATTCCTGATTTCCTCACTCGAAATCAGTTTTCAATTCTTCGATTCTTCAAAGATTTTTGTTCTATCGTGAGGCGCCTAAATGAACTTCTTTAAAAAAGCGTATTATACGCTAGCTGCGGCCCTACATTCACTATGAAATCTTAATGTAGTTACTCTAAGTAGGCCTTTCATCGCTTAAAAGTCTAAGTCGAAATCTGTATTTAATATTGCACGCAGCCGACAACGCCACGATGCGATATTAATCATAGATAACACGGACTTAGTTTAATTATTACAAAGAGACATCTACGAATTACAAGAAGATAACGAGATAAAAGTAGCGATACGGTAGTGGTATAAACTTCACACGTTGATTTCGAATGGCCCCAATCTGAAATTCAGAAACAATAATAAACATTTTTCCTCTTATCAGTTAATTTGTACAACGTATCGACATCTTACCGATTGTAATGTATTGATTGACTCGTTTTGTAGGATTCCAAAGAGTGCGAGACAATCAATCCTCGAAGATCAATGCTCCTCGAATTTTCTGTGTGCAGTACCCACACATAGAGAGAAGAATGCATCTCGTTGAGCATTACATATCACGTACATCCACGTTGAACATTACATTTCACGTCGAACATTATATTTCACGTCGAACATTACATATCACGTCGAGCCTTTACATATCACGTACATCCATGTCGACGATGTGGTCCACACCAAATGTTTGGAAAATTCTTCTTTCAGGTCAATTCGCAGGTCATTTCTATGAGCAATAATAGCGATCTGTTATTGTATATCGAACGTTCCAAAAAATATTAAATTCAAGCACAATGAAAAATCTGGAGTTAATAAACAAAATTAAACTAAGAATCTCATAAAACTAATAAATTTAAATCTCGATTTTTTTCTACATTTTTATTTGACGAATAATTATAATTCCAGGAATCTCTAATTATTCTGATTAATCTATTATTTAATTTTTATAAGAACTTTCGCGTGCGCGCGTGTTATATAATAATGATCTTTGATTTACAAAATGAAACGCCGATTCGTGAACCATTTATATTGAATAGATTCTATCACTATTTACTTGATATACAAATTTTATATGGAATTTCAACATTCCTTGTTATTTATTGTCATCATTTTCTATAATTTCATTTAAACATTTAGCGTATTATCATTATATAATTATATCATTATGTAATCTTTAGCATATATTTGATTTAAATTGTAATGAATTTTTAATCAATTATAGAAAAGTTATTTTAATAATATAAATTATACAAAATTAACAATTACAATGCCAAATTATTTGACAAAAATGTCCTAAACTCTCCATTATAAAAAGTTTAGTTTTCTTAAAATTATAAAATTTCTACCTTTTCCTCGACGATACTGCTC